CAAAGGAGGAGGGGACAGGTGGTGACGAGCTGATTGGGCTGGTTGACCCTTCGGCGCGAGAATTTTTAGACCGAGAACTCTAAGTGCGACGAAGGAGAAAGCGAGGGACCGACTGGGAAGCACAGCAACGAGAGCGTGTACGAAGCGGAGCGGGTCGAGTTTGGTCGTGCTAGGACTGGCCACAGCGGCACCGGAGCAGCGGAACCGGAGCAGGCGGACGGCATCGAACCGTGGCGTACGGACAAACATCTCTTGTATTGCAATTATTTTTCCGTTTTTTTTCCTGCGTGTGATAACGCCACTGACTGGTTTTGTAGAGAGACGCGGCAGAGATGGCGCGGATAACCCGGGTGCCTTAATTGTGTACCTGCATCGTGGAAGACCCGTTGAATGTGGAACGATTCCTAGTCAGTGTCGATGTTTACACTGCTGTGCCTAACACTCAACACAGATGAGCTGGATAGATTCGGGTGATTGTCAATTGCAATGATGGCTTTGGTTGGGTGTTCTTCTTCATTGTATGTCCACGCTCATTCTGACAGCACTTCAGACAGCAGCTCCATGCCCCGAGCTTGTGCACCATGCACCATGGTGGTATTATTGTACAGACAGCACTTCAGACAGCAGTACGCTGTGGTCGACAAACATGCATTTTGGTTAAATGCGGGCAAGGGGGGTGATGCTGCTGCTGTAGTCGATTTGTAGTGTGTGGGCGTGTAGTTCAGTTGTGAGCACGCAAACTTGCTGCAGGGATTGCAGGTGTACCTCCTCGGGCTTGCGTACCCTTTCCTTGCTAATAGTGTGTGTGTGTTCTTCAGATCTTCTGATGGCTCTAGCATTTTTGTGACCACGGACCGAGTCTTTCTTTGCTAGATTTTGGGATTAGCAACTGACACGAGTTAATGTGAAGAAAAACAACACATAACAGCAGCAGTCTATGCATAGTCCACTAAAAAGCTTGATGCATGAGTTTGATTTGTACATATGTACATGTCATGACTTCGGCCGGTAGCAACTGGTGCTGTATCATGCAGCAGCACCGTACCGCCGCACCGTACCGTGCAATACCGTCTGGGAACTTCCTCTAGTTACATGTACAGCAGTAGTCTAGCATTAGAGGAGAAGATAGATCATCCTGGTGCGGCTACAAGGAAAATGCGTGGACATCTTTGCCGCTGGTACCAGCCGCTGCCTAGAAAGGGATCTAGAGCAGTACCCCCGCATGTTGGCATGCTGCTGCCCTCTCACTACTGCTGTCCTGTGTTTTGTGGATGCCAGCAGCAGACTTTGGCACGGAACAACTGCCGTATTACACAACCACCAGCATGCACGGAACAACTGCCGTATTACACAACCACCAGCAGAGCGCCGCCGCTCTCCTCAGCACTCTTTGTGTCGGCAAAGCGCCTAGCGGTGCTCTACTTGCTGCTATTTGCACGCATGGCTATTGCACTCACATCTCCGATCCTGCCGCAGCCGATGACTCCCACTCCAAGCGGCTCGTCGGCCATCCTTAATGAGGACGCCGCTCTCGTTGCCGACGAGGCTGCTGTCGGCAGTCTGTTGAGCGGGGCCTGCGGAAGTACAAACGCTGAGCTGCATGTGGCCATCACGGCCAGCATAACCCCAGACTGCATCATGGTCACGTCTACAGACTCGACTTTACAGAGAGCAGGTGTGGAGAGAGACGAAGCAGGGAGAAGGACGTGTGCTTTGCAAGTGTGATCCAGCGACAGCAGTGGGTGCGATAGTATTGATATATTTCCCGCACCGCCGGTGTGGCTAGTGGTGTCCTGCGGCGACAGAAGTTCTGATCTCCTTCACATGAAAGCAGTTTGCACTCGAACCGGTTCGCCTTTCATGAAACTATGGAGGGATCCCTATTGTTTTATCTAGGCTGTAAAAAAATGCGGATACCTTTATTTTTTTTCTTAATATCACACAACAAATCCATCTCTATCAATAGAAATAAGATAGATTAGCAATGAATCCATAGTGTGAGCGAAAGGCTACCTGTATGTCTACGGTTTCCCAGACAGCATACAACGATATCTTCCCTGTGGGTAACAGGCTCAACAAGGCAGTTTGGTAGCCATGTTGTTCATCTATCTGTATGTTCTGTTGGGAAGTTGTACAATTGTAGACGGAAGATTTAGGGGAAATCGGTTTGTCGGGTGTTCTATTGTGGCACCCTTACGTGGTTGCGGAGCAAGCGCGTCTCGGGGTGTGAATATTTTCGTCAGACCACTGTTTATGGCGGCGGAATCTTGATCGTAATCTTGATTTTTGGTGGTGGGGGGGGGTCGATTCGAGAAATATAGATAGAAAATCACAGGTCCGTTCTGTAGGGTACTGATACTTCTGTAGGGTACTGGGAGAGTTACAGATCTGTTTGTGAAATCTCTGTAGGGTACTGGGCGAGTACCGAACGTTCTGTGAAATATCTGTAGGGTACTGGGATCTCACAAAACTCCTCTGTAAAATCTCTGTATGTGCTGGGGTCTCACAGAACTCCTCTGTAAAATATCTGTATGTACTGTGGTCTCACAGAACTTTTCGGTAGGGTACTGGGAGAATACAGAACGTTCTGTGAAATCTCTGTAGGGTACTGGGCGAGTACCGAACGTTCTGTGAAATCTCTGTAGGGTTCTTAGGTCTCACAGAACTCCTCTGTATGGTACACAAACAACGTACCTACAGACCAACCCGGTACTTACCCCGATAGTAGCAGCTCCTCCACCCCCAACTGCTGTACTTTGCGCCGGGGAGACGCTGCTGCTGAGGTCTGCACTCTCGCTCATGTTCCTCTCAAGCTATGTGACCGAAAGGAGTTCTGTGGAGGTACCTAGTTCTAGTTCTGTGATCGCCTTCAAGCTTTTTGTGGCTGTGGGGCAGGTGGGGTCTTCGGCGCAATCCTGACGTCATACCTCCGAGGGTACTACCAGTGTACAGAACTTTTCGGTAGGGTACTGGGAGAGTTACAGATCTGTTTGTCGGTAGGGTACTGGGAGAGTACCGAACTTAATGTAGAATCTCTGTATGTACTGGGGTCTCACAGAACTCCTCTATAAAATATCTGTATGTACTCTTCTCCCTTCTTCCCCTCGCTCCTCGACAAGCTTTTGCTTAGACATGGGTTGTAGTGAAGGGGGGGGTCTTTCTGGCGAGCAGGGCTAGACTCACCCTCAAGGGATGACCGAAACCTTCTTGCTGCTGCGCATATCCGCCGCGAGGCATGCGCGTGGTGGTGTAGTTGGGTCGGCACTGATGGGGTCAG